ATCACTTGAGGCCAGGAATTTGAGACCAGCCTGACCAAAATGACAAAACCCCATCTCTACTAAAAAATACTAAAAATTGCTGGGCATGGTGGCACCTGAGGTCAGTTCAAGACCGGCCTGACCAACATGGAGAAACCCTGTCTCTACTAAAAATACAAAGTTAGCCAGGTGGAGTGACATATGCCTGTAATCCCAGCTACCTGGGAGGCTGAGGCAGGAGAACCGCTTGAACCTAACAGGTGGAGGTTGCAGTGAGCCAAGATAGCACCACTGCAGTCCAGCCTGGGCAACAGAGCAAGACTCTGTCTTGGGGAAAAAAAAGAAAAAGCTACTCTGAATCATGCTTCTTTCTAAAAGACCAGGAAAACTAATTTTACATAAAAACGAACAGAAAATACAGAAATTAAATTCCATATAAAGTTATAAGAATTCCTACAGACAATGAAAGCATGACAGAAAGACATCCACGTATCACATCAAAATTGCAACTTTTATTTCAAAATGAGCTAAGGAGACATTTAAAAAATTATGTAACGCATGAAAGAACATCAATCGGAATTGGAAAAACTCAAAAACGAAATGAAAACTCAGGTATGAGGAATTAGGAACTATATACCAGATGTCACCACCTAAAAGTCCCACAGCTTTTCGATTTCACGACATCCAAAACCTGACCCACCACTGTCCTAGAATTCTTCTGCTGTCCCTTCCTTAGTGGTTAACAACATGCATCAACCTGCACATCCCTTTGACTTCTTTTTTTCTTTTTCTGAGTCAGGGTCTTACTCTGTTGTCCAGGCTGGAGTGCTGTGAAGTGATCATAGCTCTACAGCTTTGACCTCTTTGGGCTCAGATGATCCTCCTGCCTGAACCTCCCAAGTAGCTGGGACCAGAGACCATGCACCACCAGGCCCAGCTAATTTTTTTTCTACTTTTCTTTTGTAGAGACAGGATTTTGCCATGTTGCCACGTGGATCTCAAACTCCTGGGCTCAAGCAATCCACCAGCCTCGGGCTCCCAAAGTGCTGTGATTACAGGCAACAGTCACAGTGTCTGGCCTCCTTTGACTCTTTAACTCAGGTTCCACATTCAGTCAATAAAGGGGTTGTTAGTAATACTAGAATCTCTCTTGCAGGGCACTGTGGCTCACATCTGCAATCCCAGTACTTTGGGAGGCCAAAGCAGGAGGATCACGAGGTCAAAAGATCAAGAACATCCTGGGCAACACGGTGAAACCCCACCTCTACTAAAAATAAAAAGATGAGCTGGGTGTGGTGGCGTGCACCTGTTGTCCCAGCAACTCAGGAGGCTGAGACAGGAGAATTGCCTGAACCCAGGAGGCGGAGGCTACAGTGAGCAGAGATCTCGCCACTGCTCCAGTGTGGTGACAGAGCAAGACTCTGTCTCCAAAAAAAAAAAAAGCTCTCTCAAGTAAAAACCTTCTTTAGGGTACCATCATCAAGCTCCTTGGACTATCCGAACAACCTCTAAACTCCTGCCTCTAGTCTTCCTTTGTGCCTCACCCACAATTCATCCTCCACATTTAAGCCTTCAATGGTATTCTTTCCTTGCCTTAAAATAACATCCAAATTCCTTTACATATAGAATGGTAAGCTGCTATAAATTCACAATCCCCAAAACTCAATGCACACTCCATATTGCCTGTCAGTTTTTCCAGTGTTTCCATTCTCTAGTGACTACAGATGGTCCCTAAGCTATGATGGTTCAACTTACAATTCTGACTTTACGATGGTGCAAAGGCCATACATTCAGTAGAAACTGTACTTCTTAGCTGGGTGCAGTGGCTCACCATATCTGTAATCCCAGCACTTTGGGAGGCCAAGGTGGGAGAAACTCTTAAGCTCAGGAGTTCAAGACCAGCTTGGACAACACAGAGAGACCCCATCTCTATTAAAAATATTTTTTAGGCCGGGCGCCGTGGCTCAAGCCTGTAATCCCAGCACTTTGGGAGGCCAAGGCGGGTGGATCACGAGGTCAACAGATCGAGACCATCCTGGTCAACACGGTGAAACCCCGTCTCTACTAAAAATACAAAAAATTAGCTGGGCATGGTGGCTCGTGCCTGTAATCCCAGCTACTCAGGAGGCTGAGGCAGGAGAATTGCCTGAACCCAGGCGGCGGAGGTTGCGGTGAGCCGAGATCGCGCCATTGCACTCCAGCCTGGGTAACAAGAGTGAAACTCCATCTCAAAAAAAATAAAATAAAATATTTTTTAAAAAGGACAAAAGAAGCCAAGTTCGAGACCAGCCGGGGCAAGAGAGAGACTCCATCGCTATTAAAAATATTTTTTTTTTTTTTTTTTTTTTTTTTGAGACGGAGTTTCTCTCTTGTTACCCAGGCTGGAGTGCAATGGCGCGATCTCGGCTCACCGCAACCTCCGCCTCCTGGGTTCAGGCAATTCTCCTGCCTCAGCCTCCTGAGTAGCTGGGATTATAGGCACACGCCACCATGCCCAGCTAATTTTTTGTATTTTTAATAGAGACGGGGTTTCACCATGTTGACCGGGATGGTCTCGATCTCTTGACCTCGTGATCCACCCGCCTCGGCCTCCCAAAGTGCTGGGATTACGGGCTGAGCCACCGCGCCCGGCCTAAAAACATTTTTTAAAAAAAGTAAAAAGAGGGCCGGGCGCGGTGGCTCACGCCTGTAATCCCAGCACTTTGGGAGGCCGAGGCGGGTGGATCACATGGTCAAGAGATCGAGACCATCTTGGTCAACATGGTGAAACCCCGTCTCTACTAAAAATACAAAAAATTAGCTGGGCATGGTGGTGCGTGCCTATAATCCCAGCTACTCAGGAGGCTGAGGCAGGAGAATTGCCTGAACCCAGGAGGCGGAGGTTGCGGTGAGCCGAGATCGCGCCATTGCACTCCAGCCTGGGTAACAAGAGCGAAACTCCGTCTCAAAAAAAAAAAAAAAAAACTTAGCTAGAAGTGATGGCGGGCTCCTGTAGTCCCAGCTACCTGGCTACCTCAGAGACTAAGGCAGGAGAATCGCTTGAACCTAGGAGGTAGAGCCTGCAGTGAGCCAAGATCACACCACTGCACTCCAGCCTGGGCGTCTAATAGAACAAGACCCCATCTCAAAAAAAAAGGTAAATAAAAATTTTAAAAATAAAATTTAAATCAAATCACGTCACTCTTTGTTTGTTTTGAGACAGGGTCTTGCTCTGTTGCCTGGGCTGGAGTGCAGTGGTGCAGTCTTGATTCACTGCAACCTCTACATCCCAAGCTGAAGCAATCCTCCCACCGGACCAACTGGTAGCCCCTGCTCACCAATTTGTCTTTATTTCTAATACATATCCTGTCCCAACAATGTTCCAGTCACACCTAAGTACTCCCAAGTTCCCAAACGCTCTCTATCTTCTCTGGCTGGGCTTATTCTTTTTAAGAAAAATTTAGGGCACAGTGGCCCACGTCTATGATCCCAGGACCTTAGGAGGCTGCAGCAGGTGGATCATGAGGTTAGGAGTTCAGGACAAGCCTGGCCAACACGGTGAAATCCCATCTCTAATACAAAAATAAGCCAGGTGCCGTGGTGCATACCTATAGTTCCAGTTACTTGGGAGGCCAAAGCAAGAGAACCGCTTGAACCTGGGAGGCAGGGGTTGCAGTGAGTCAAGATAGCGCCACTGCACTCCAGCTCGGGTGACAGAACAAGACTCCATCTCAATAAAAAAAAAAGAAAATGAAAATATTTAATTTTTATGGGTACATAGGAGGTATATATATTTATGCAGGGCCGGGCTGGCCTCAAACTCCTGGCCTCAAGTGATTCACCTGCCTCAGCCTCCCGAAGTGTTGGGATTACAGGCGTGAGCCACTGTGTCTGGCTACTATGGGCTTTCTTGATTGCTGTTGGACGATCTCAGCTCATGGCAATCTCCACTTCCTGGGTTCATGCAGTTCTCCTGTCTTAGCCTCCTGAGTACCTGAGGCTACAGGCATGTGTCACCACACACAGCTAATTTTTTTTTTTGCATTTTGTAGAGATGGGATTTCACCATGTTGGCCAGGATGGTCTCAATCTCCTGACCTTGTAATCTGCCCGCCTTGGCCTCGCAAAGTGCTAGGACTACAGGTCTGAGCCACCGCGCCTGGCCTGCCAACTCTTTATCTTTCCTGACTGCTTAAGATGGATTCAGTGCTCATGGGTAGTACACTACTTAACCCTATCCCAGTGCTATCCCCTATTAGCAAATGGTACAATTGCTTGCATGTCTGTCTGACTTCCTTATTCAGTTGTAACATCTATAAATATAGGAATTTTGTTATAGTGTTTACCATTCCATCCTCAAGGGCTTAACAGAGTCTAAAATGTAGCAACAGTTCTAAAAATTTATAGATGAAATCTTTAATCCACCAATTCCCCCTGTATGTAACCCCATTACCAAAACTCAGGACTCCACTCAACAACCCAAGAAACAAGCATCTATTCTGATGGCATCTCTAGTAATTTATCCAATCAAAACAAGTAAACTCACAAAAGCCTGTTTTCAGGAAACTTTCTCTTAAAGACAAAGAAATCCCCATCTATAAAACGATGGATGCTCTTGGCACAAAACATTCAGAATCCTTCCCTTTCAAAGTCTTCAGACAGATTTGAAAAAAATATCCAACTGACTGGCTTCTCAACCTATGCTGCATAAAACGAACTGTCAAACATCTTTCATTCAAGAGAAGGAAAACATCAGAGGACTTCAGGATGTTTTCATTCTCTTACTTCGAACCTCATATTTTACAGACGGGAAGAGAAACCAACTAACAGTGTAACACTTGTGGCTTGAAACAGCATGCCCCAAGTTTTCCCTAACTCTTAACTGAACAAGACCTTCTGTAACAGTTTTTCAGAAGCCTAAATGAAGAATGCACAAAAGGATAAACAAGGAGGTGATGGTACATTTGCAACAAAGGTGTGTACACATTTTTAAAAAAGCAATTCTGATCTATACCATAGGGAAAAGAACCTATCGTACTCACTTCCGAGTCTTCTGCACTTTCATAATCCGAGAGAACAGCTGAAATAAAACAGAAATATGTGGAAAAAAAGAAACCCAGAAACATTTTTTTGGCATATAATAGGTCAGACTAAGAGTCTCATTTAATTGACATCAACCTATAAGGTAGATAAAAATATAGTTCCCCACTTACAACAGGCTTAGAGAGTAACTTGCTCAAGGCCATACCGTTAAAACCTACGCTCTTAACCACTATGCTACAAAAAGCCACTCTGTGCCCCTAAATCCGTTACAGTGTGTGAGAATGTAGACTGCTGGAAATAAGTGACCTGAGCTTATGCTTTAAAAAAAAAAAAACTCTTTTGGATAACACTGAAAGGAAAGACAGTATTTGAAAAATAAAAAAAATTAAAAAATTTAAAATTAAGGCCGGGCGCGGTGGCTCAAGCCTGTAATCCCAGCACTTTGGGAGGCCGAGGCGGGTGGATTACACGGTCAAGAGATTGAGACCATCCTGGTCAACATGCTGAAACCCCATCTCTACTAAAAATACAAAAAAATTAGCTGGGCATGGTGGCGTGTGCCTGTAATCCCAGCTACTCAGGAGGCTGAGGCAGGAGAATTGCCTGAACCCAGGAGGCAGAGGTTGCGGTGAGCCGAGATCGCGCCATTGCACTCCAGCCTGGGTAACAAGAGCGAAACTCCGTCTCAAAAAAAAAAAAAAAAAAAAAAAAATTAAAAATTAAAATTCTTGTCATAATGGGGTAAAAGATGCTACTCACCATCACCTTCAATGCCATCTTCACTCTCCTGAAGGAAAGTAGAAGACGTGGGTTAGTTCTGTGATTTCCATAGGTGGGAAGCCCAATAAAGAAATGTGGGTGAAGAGCTGAAGACTCAACACAAAATGGTTGAACAGGGAGACAGAGATAATAAATCTTTCACAAGTAGCATCCGAGGCAAGTCCACTCTCCTTCCCTACAGCCCCGATTTCTGAATAAACATCCGCTTTCCATCCCCACCGGCACTGCCATCCTCCCAGAAACCCCCAACCCTTCTTCTTCCCTTGGATCTCCGGATGCAAACTCTTTGGGATAACTCCTTTTCTCTTAAAAAAAAAAAAAAAAAAAAAAAAGTCCCACTATCTATCAACTCCCAGACACCAACATCACCTACACCCCGCCCCCCCACCAGCGGCCGGCTCGCCGCCCGGCCCCCACACCTCGCCCCGCCGGCGCGCACTCACACACTCCGATTCCTCAGCGCTCTTGGCGCCCCCGCTTTCCAACCGCCGCAGATGAAGGGCCCCGATTCGGCCTCCGCGCTGTGAAGACAGAGAGCCGCTGCCGCCGCCTCCGGCGCTACCGCTGCAGCTACCGCCGCCCCGCAACGGGGAGCCGCCGCTATCTGAGCCCGAAGCACCAGATTCCTCGTCCTCGGTGTCTTGCGAAGCGCGTTGCCGCCGCCGGTCCGCCATCTTACGGAGAACGGCCACCGCGGGCGAGCGACTTACGCACCGCGCCCGTCGCAGAGGTTGCTGGGAGGCTCGAGAGCTAGTCCCGGCGTGCTACGCGTGCGGCGCTCGGCCACCCTGCTAGGGGGCGGGGAGGGAAGGGGGCGGGGCCTACGGCCTGCGGCACGTTTGCGGCCGAACCGGATTACGTCTGTCGGTGATGTAAGTGGGCGTGGCGCGGCTGCTGACTTCCCTTGGGCAGGCCTAGGGCAAGGGAAGTTGGACTTCAGCAGCCTCCCGGGTTCTTGGCCCGGCCATCTTGGGCTTCCCGAGTGGAAGGCGTCGCCAACCTGTCACAGCTTCACTGCAACACTGGGGTTGTTTCATGGTTTTCTGTTTCCATTTCTCCCGTCTACCTACGTTTGAGGCAGGCCAATTTACTGCATTCCTTTGCTTGGTAAAATCACGAACCAAGGTAAATCTCAAAAGCCGTAGTGCTGCGTCAGATTTGCTACACCAGCCCAGTTTAAGATAACGGGCGAAGGAGAAACCAGTTGTCTGCAGTGAAGCCAGAGGACTTAATTGTTGCAGCATTTTCTCTGTGTCCTCATTTCCTCTTCCCTCTTCACGTTTCTTCCCACCTCAGCCATCACCTCTCCCAAAGTGCAGGCTGGTATGATGCCAGAATGATCGGTTTTGTTTTGTTTTTTGAGACAGGATCTCACTCTGTTGCGCAGGGTGGAGTGCAGTGAACGCGATCACGGCTCACTGCAGCCCTGACCTCCCAGGTCCAGGTGACCTCCCCTGCCTCAGCTGCCTCAGTAGCTGGGACGACAGGCACACACTACCACGATCGGCTAATTTTCTATTTTTTGGAGCGTTAGGGGTCTCGCTCTTGCCCAGGTTGGTCTCGAGCTCCTGGCTGGGCTCAAGCGATCCTCTCGTCTCAGCCTCCCAAAGTGCTGGGATTGATTACAGGCATGAGCTACTACTCTTGACCCTTATCAGAATTTTAGAACCAATTTAAAAAGAAATGGTCAGTAGGAACCAATGTTGATTCAAAATCCTGACATTTTCTTCTTAAGGTTTATGGCAGTGCGTTCATTTTGGCAGGGAATTTGTCACCAACGAAAAGAATCAAGTGTATTTTCTTTGGACCGTTATAAGGATATACAAAGTGCATGAACTTTTAGTGCACCTACAGGAGTGCACCTTAATAATATATGTATCAAATAAAGGCCACTAGCCAGGCATGGTGGCTCACGCTGTAATCCCAGCACTTTGGGAGGCTGAGGTGGGTGGATCACAAGGTCAGGAGTTCAAGACCAGGCTGGCCAACATATCAAAACCCCGACTAAAAATACCAAAATACCAAAATTAGCCAGGCATGGTGGTGCGTGCCTGTAGTCCCAGCTGCTCAGGAGGCTGAGGCAGGAGAGTCACTTGAACCTGGGAGGTAGAGGCTGTGGTGAGTCGAGATCATACCGCACTCCAGCCTGGGCAACAGAGCAAGACTGTCTCAAAAAAAAAAAAAAAAAAAAAAAAAAAAAAAAAAAAAAAGGCCACTATGGCGTAGGATTCTTTACTTAGTAAAATTTTTATGAACAACATGGTTAAGGATTCTGCTGTTTATCAGATTTATAGACAACATGAAACTGGAAGTAATTATGAATGCCTTCAGAGATTAAATGAGAATTCAGACAATCTCACCTAATTAGACAGGTAGCCAAACGTGACAACTTGTAAGTACAGCTCCAAAAGCCAACTGCCTGACTTCAAAATGGAGGATATATGATTTAATAAGTGTTAAAGAAAAAGACCTGGAGGATCTTATTGATCATAAGCTAAATTGGTGCAAATAAGGCTGCCAAGTTCAGTGTCTAAATAAGGAAAATGATAGTCTGCCACTTTGTCCTTCAGTTGTTTGGTCTGGGTCCAATTTTTAAATGGAGATGGGTAAATTTTCACTCCTCTAGAGGGAACTGAAAAATCAGAATATTTTCTTTCAAGGAACAATTGTAAGATCTCTGAATGTTTAGTGTGAAGAGAAGACTTGGGATAGCCACAGCAGTCTTTAACCAGAGACTATGAGCAAAAGGAGGGATTTATCTTTTTGTCATCATCCTAGAAAGCAAAGCAAAACCAATGAGTTTAAGTTACAAGCAGTTAGATTTTGTCAACAAGCAAGAATTTTCAAACACTTAGGGGAAAAATGTATGTAGAAAAACAGTGTTGAAGCAGAAGCAGGAATTCACTTGTCTGGAATGTTATCAAGGGAAAATCACGTACCAGGGGTCACATTAGATGACCTCTAAGGTCTTTCCAACTATAACTTAGACATCAGGGACCAAGTATCCTATAATCTCGTTATCTCGTTTCTAAATTTTTTTTTTTTTTTTTTTTTTTTTTTTTTTTTTTTTTTTTTTTTTTTTTTGAGACGGAGTTTCGCTCTTGTTACCCAGGCTGGAGTGCAATGGCGCGATCTCGGCTCACCGCAACCTCCGCCTCCTGGGTTCAGGCAATTCTCCTGCCTCAGCCTCCTGAGTAGCTGGGATTACAGGCACGCGCCACCATGCCCAGCTAATTTTTGGTATTTTTAGTAGAGACGGGGTTTCACCCTGTTGACCAGGTTGGTCTCAATCTCTCGACCTCGTGATCCACCCGCCTCGGCCTCCCAAAGTGCTGGGATTACAGGCTTGAGTCACCGCGCCCGGCCTTCGTTTCTAAAATTATTAATCATACTTTTTTTTTTTTGAGATAGAGTCTCCCTCTCTTACCCAGGCTGGAATGCAATGTTGTGATCTTGGCTGACTGCAACCTCCCAAGTTCAAGTGATTCTCCTACCTTAGCCTCTTGAGTAGCTGGGATTTTTGTATTTTTAGTAGAGACAGGGTTTCACCATGTTGGCCAGGCTGGTCCTGAATTTCTGACCTCAGGTGATCCACCCACCTCAGCCTCCGAGTGCTGGGATTACAGGCGTGATCCACGAGACCAGCCTTTTTTTTTTTTTTTTTTTTTTTTGAGACGTAGTTTCGCTCTTGTTACCCAGTACCCAGGCTGGAGTGCAATGGCAGGATCTCGGCTCACCACAACCTCGCCTCCTGGGTTCAGGCAATTCTCCTGCCTCAGCCTCCTGAGTAGTTGGGATTACAGGCTTGATGTAATGGTGCGCGCCACCATGCCCAGCTAATTTTTTTTTTTTTTTTTTTTTAGACGGAGTTTTCGCTCTTGTTACCCAGGCTGGAGTGCAATGGCGCGATCTCGGCTCACCGCAACCTCCGCCTCTTGGGTTCAGGCAATTCTCCTGCCTCAGCCTCCTGAGGAGCTGGGATTACAGGCACGCGCCACCATGCCCAGCTAATTTTTGGTATTTTTAGTAGAGACGGGGTTTCACCATGTTGACCAGGATGGTCTTGATCTCTCGACCTCGTGATCCACCCGCCTCGGCCTCCCAAAGTGCTGGGATTACAGGCTTGAGCCACCACGCCCGGCCTAATTTTTTGTATTTTTAGTAGAGACGGGGTCTCACCATGTTGACCAGGATGGTCTCGATCTCTTGACCTCGTGATCCACTCGCCTCGGCCTCCCAAAGTGCTGGGATTACAGGCTTGAGCCACCGCGCCCGGCCCTTTTTTTTTTTTTTTAAACAGAGTCTCACTGTCACCCAGGCTGGATGTAATGGCTTGATCTCAGCTCACTGCAACTTCCACTTCCCAAGTTCAGGAGATTCTCCTGCCTCAGCCTCCCAAGCAGCTGTGAATACAGGTGCCTGCCAACACACCTGGCTAATTTTGTGTATTTTTAGTAGAGACGGGGTTTCACCATGTTGGCCAGGCTGGTCTCAAACTCCTGACCTCAGGTGATCCTCCTGCCTCAGCCTCCCAAAGTGCTGGGATTACAGGTAGGAGCCACCGTGCCTGGCTTTTTTTTTTTTTTTTTTTTTTGAGACAAGAGTCTTGGCCGGGCGCGGTGGCTCAAGCCTGTAATCCCAGCACTTTGGGAGGCCGAGGCAGGTGGATCACGAGGTCAAGAGATGGAGACCATCCTGGTCAACATGGTGAAACCACGTCTCTACTAAAAATACAAAAAATTAGCTGGGCATGGTGGCGCATGCCTGTAATCCCAGCTACTCAGGAGGCTGAGGCAGGAGAATTGCCTGAACCCAGGAGGCGGAGGTTGCGGTGAGCCGAGATCACGCCACTGCACTCCAGCCTGGGTAACAAGAGCGAAACTCTGTCTCAAAAAAAAAAAAAAAGAAAAGAAAAGAAAAGAAAAAAGAGACAGAGTCTTGCTGTCACCCAGGCTGGATGCAGTGGCTTGAGCTCAGCTCACTGCAACTTCCACTTCCCAGGTTCAAGAGATTCTCCTGCCTCAGCCTCCCAAGTAGCTGGGATTACAGGTGTTGTGTCACCATGCCTGGCTAATTTTTGTATTTTTAGTAGAGATGGGATTTTACCGTGTTGGCTAGCCTGGTCCTGAACCTCTAACCTCAAGTGATCTGCCCGCCTCAGCCTCCCAAAGTGTTGGGATTATAGGCATGAACCACTGTACCCAGCCACGTTGCTAATTATACTTAAGGAAGCACACTGGACAAAGAAGGATGAAACATACATTCTACTTATACACAAATGGAAGTGAGTACCTTATATAAAAGGGAAAATAATGTTATTCTTTATTATTATGAAAATGGATTTCTTTTTCCAATGGTTCAAATATACAAGCAGAACTGTTTAATGTTTGCCAATAAATATAATAAATTGAAGCAGAAGTTCAAAAATTAACAGCCACAATAGTTTATTTACAATTGAACTCTTTATAAGATATTTACAAGACAACCAATTTTACACATCAGAAATGGTATCAAAAGTTATGAATTACAACACAGACAACAATATGAAATGGGCATAAAACAAAGTTGAAGTAGACAGACAAGCAATTTCTTTTTTTTTAATTTATTAACACTAGCTTAAACTTTGTTAAAGAAAAACAAACAACTTTGTTTTAGGAGAACTGCAGGGCCTTCAGTTGAAGATTGAATTCACAGTGTTGTATCCCATGTAGGGAAAAATAAGACTAATTTTCCCCCCACACTCTAACACACTGTAATTTTGCTCTTGGAACTTTACTAATCTACTCTCCAACC